TATGCTGATGCTATTTTATAGTTGTTTGACCTGTCTTTGTCCACGCAACCAACTGTCGATGATATCTGATTGGTTTCTGGAGCTCCCACTCCATCGGTTGAGATTTAATCATATTTAGCTGAAAGCAGCTCCAAGCCAAATTCTGCATCTGCATCTGCATCAGTTTAACGAAAGATGACATCCTGTGCGATGATCACACAGGCTGACTTATGAACTGGACTACAAAGGGAACATTTGTGGCGACAAGCATGGCAACCCAAATTTGCAGGAGCTGGATGTTAGATACTGGATGAATCCGAACCAAGTCTACCAAAGTGGACTCAAGGACAGCAAGGTTAACCTGGCTGATGCCAAAGCCATCTGCCTGATGGAGTGCCCAAATACAGCCGTAGATGGATTGAACTTTATTTGTGATTATCCAGAAGGGGACATCCACCTCTCTGTTGATGACTGGATCAATAGGGACTATGACTATTTTGAGTTTCTCACACCAGACATGAGGAATAGCTCACTTCAACTCCAGGGTCCATGCTACCCTATCATATTCCCAACTGTTAATGGTAATATTAATTCTGCTGTCATTTTGTGTGTCCTTTTAAAAGTAATAAGGGGCGTGACTTATTTATTCAGTAAATTCATACTGTGAGATAAGCAATTCATTTTTCTTCCCCTCAGTCTATTGGAGCTGCCAATTTATTGCACGGGCATCCAATGTCTCTTTGAAGCACTGGCATGAGATGGGTGGTGTCAGCATTGATGAAAATATCCTCATTGATAAAACAGTGCACAAGGCCATCGATTCTAGATCTGCTGTATTAAAGGTCTGTAAACTTCTTGGCATAATTTTGTTGCGCGCATAATCATTTTTTTCTTCACAAAAAGTTCCTGTTTTGTATGACATCAAGTGACAAATGTTTTATCTGAATTTGCTTTAAACTACACATGTAAAATTCCTGCTCAAGATTGATAACTATTCTGTTGTGTTTAAAGAAAATCCTGATGTGACCTAATGTATATAGCATGTTACATACTTCAGTTGGTTTATCTTCTACTGCAGAGATATATTGCAGACATTGGGAAGTCCTGGCCTGTGTTCATCGTTTGTGGTGGAATCCTCCCTGTTTTCCTGTCAGTGATCTGGTTGCTTATGATTCGTTATTTCGTTGCTGCCATGACTTGGATCACAGTAGTCCTATTCAATGCCCTTGTTATATCTGTAACGATGTTCTTTTACATCAAAGGTATGATTCACTATTCCAGTTCCTAGTTACAAGGTATCTATTCACAAAGAATACTTCAAGCTATGGATTGTACATATATCTAATCCGTGGTTCACTTCTTGTAACTGCTGCATCAAACATTCAGCTGGCTGGATAGGCAATGACCCCTTAACTGTTGTCATTGGTGAAAGTGATCCATATGTTCACATAAGTGGGCGGGTAAGTACTTCCAACTTAATCAATCTGTTGCAAGACATAGCTGCTTCTGCTTGAAATCTGATGGTCCCATCTTCTTACCAGGAAATAAGCCACCTTCATACTGTTACAATCCTAATGACAGCAGTAATGATCATTGCTTTCCTGTCCTCAATAGCTATTGTCCGCCGCATACTGATAGCAACACCTGTCTTAAAGGTAAGCAAATAGTTGGATACATCATAGACAACTGTTTCGAATGTGATAGCTGACAGCTCCTGAACACTAACCAATAACCATTACACATGGTTTCAGGTTGCTGCAAAGGTCATTGGTGAAGTTCAGGCACTGATAGCTTTTCCACTTTTGCCATTCGTGATCCTTTCCATCTTTTATATGTTCTGGTTTTCTGCTACACTCCATCTCTTCAGCTCTGGTCAAGTTGTCCGAAACGATTGCAATACTGATTGTTGTTCATATGATCTGAAGCTGGGCAAAGTAAATTGTGACAACTGTTGTGGGTACAACATCCATTACACCCCTCATATCAGCATTGCCATTCTATTCCACTTATTTGGCTGCTACTGGGCGACTCAATTCATTCTCGCATGCTCTTCAACTGTGGTTGCGGGATCAGTTGCTTCTTACTACTGGGCGCGTGGTGAAATATCAGTAAGCACTTCGAAGTCTGAAATCTAACTGAATTGTTTCACATAAAAATTATCTGTATTTATCTTTTCCCCATTTTTAGTCTATGCATATTCTCCCGTGCTGACCATTCAAGCAATTTCAATGCAGCATGATATACCATTTCTCACTGTAGTCTCTTCACTGAAGCGACTGATGCGCTATAGCCTTGGATCTGTTGCTCTGGGTTCACTTGTTGTATCTGTTGTTGAGTGGGTGCGGTTTATACTAGAATGCCTCCGTCGCAAGTTGAAGCTAGTTGATTCTGCTCGAGAAAGCTGCTTTGGAAAAGCGACGTCTTCCTCTTCTGAATGCTGCCTGGGTTGCATAGACTGGACCCTAAAGTCAGTAAATCGAAATGCCTACATTATGGTCAGTATGAAGATTTGCTACACACCAGTTCTTCTCATCCTAATAGTTCTGAATGCAATTACTGACAACTATATACTCGATCAGATAGTTAAACCCATTTGACTTGGCATTCTTCCTATATGGTGTTGCTTAGAAATTTTGATTAGCGACTTAGCGTTAGAGTCTTACACTCCTATTCTGTGTTGATTCTTGAGATTCCTGCACCTGAAAGCGATTTTTCACCTAGAACACGTGAAAGCGCATGTCATCAATGTTACATGGCTCTTTTGTTAAACACAAAGTTCTTATAACCTTGTTTTGCTGCTGCAGATTGCCATTACTGGGAAAGGTTTCTTCAAAGCTTCAGTGCTCGCAACTGGATTAATAATGAAGAACATTCTGCGCATTGGAAAAGTCAACGTCATTGGAGATGTTATCCTCTTCCTGGGAAAACTGTGTGTGAGCCTATTCTGTGCGCTTTTCGCCTTTCTGATGTTAGACACCCACAAGTACAAGTCCGCACACAACAAGATATCATCTCCAGTCATCCCTGTCCTGGTGAGCCAACTGAAACCTTATTTTGTCGACTGAACTTCTCAGATCGTCAGATTTCATTTCCATTTGCTGAAACCTGAAGCTAAACTGCCTTGTCACAATACGCTGACACTGCAGGTGACATGGGCCCTCGGCTACATAGTCGCGAAGCTTTTCTTTGCGGTGGTTGAGATGTCGATCGACACCATAATCCTCTCGTTCTGCCAGGACGCCGAAGAGCACCAGGGGAATGCGCAGTATGCGCCCTCTGCTCTGATGGAAACTCTGGATGAACAGGGCGAACTGCAGAGACTAACTCAAGGACCTTGACTGTTGTTTCCTCTTGGGCATCCCTTCTTGGTATGGTAGCATGGAAACTTAGCAGCAGGCTAATCTTTTGTTACCCCGTTCTCTTGGCTTGTGAAGAGGTTTGCCATTTTGCTTGCTACCCTACCTACTGTCTTCTACAAGTCTGAATCTGACATGTTCGCCTGGCCCAATTGGCATGTGTAGGCAGCTTATCTAATATATATGTGTGTGGTATTGCTGATACAGCGTTAATGAGGTAGGTTGGAATCTATGATGAGTAGTATGTGAGTTCATCTATTAATCCCTTTGTTGCATTTCAATCCTCGATTTATACATTTAACATTTTGGTGCTGTGACTGGAGTAACATGTCGAGTGAGCAAGCCAATTAATTAAGGAGTAAAACAGTGACACCAGTAATGGCGTAGGGATCAAAATTTCCAACAGATGACCTCTTGTGGACAAATTCGACCATGTTTTCTCATTCGAATAATCTATCACAGTACTTAGCTGATTCGGCTCAGATCGCTATAGCCATGAATCAAGTGCCACACCTGACACAGGCCCATCAGAGCCTACAACAACAAATCAAGGCCTCCTGTCAGGAATTTCACATGAAAAATGTAGAAACAGAAAAAAAAATCCTTGTATTCCAAACAGGCCCTAATCCAAAAGATGCGTCTTATATATTGTGATCATCCGCCATTAATTTATAATATGTTGTGCTCATCTACTATCAGACCAATGCGGGATTAACTCTAACAGGCTCGTCTTAGCAACCCCAACAACGAACAGTCGCAGACGTAGGAATGACGTCCACACGTACTAAGATCTGCAGAGATCGTCGTCGATGCCGATGCTAAGCCGCAGTCGCAGACGTCGTCCAGTACAAGATCTGCAGAGATCGTCGTCGATGCCGATGCTAAGCCGCGTCGCAGTCGCAGCAGGCTCGCGGTCTCCTTCCTCCCGGGTCCAGGTCCACGAGGAGCGGCTGCGCAATGGGAGCTCGCCGCGGGAGGGTCGGGGTCGGAGTCGGAGTCAGCAGCGGAGGCGGCGGCGCAGGGTGTACCAGCACTTCTTGCATGGAGTACCGATGACCCTCATCCCGCGCCTGCATGGCGCCGCCACCGCCTTGGAAACCGCCCTCCGGACCTGGTGCTCCGGCTTGCGCTTCGCGACAGCAGCAGCCGGCACCACAGCCAGCGCCACGGGCGACTGCTGCGGCTGCGCAACGCCCAGCAGCCTCCTCGGCGCCGCCCTGCATGGCGACGGTGGAGACGTCGCCGGCACCGTGCGCATGCGCTCGTCTCGCGTCGCGGCGGAGCTGTCGAGAATGGAAACGAGCCCTGGGGTGGGACGGGACGGGAATGGAGAACGCGATAGTTCCGGATCTTCCGTGTGTATATTTGTAGGTTCCGGATGGTTAGTTGGCGCTGGCGGCGCGTGCACGTTCGGTTGCGGCCAGCGCGTGGGAGTTGTTGGGCACCTGCGGCGTCCGTTCACCGCTGCCGTTGCTCCTCGTTTGGGTGGTTCGTTCGCCATGGATGGTGCTCGTGTGCGACACGGAACACGGATCGGAGAAGCCATTTCTCATCCAAATCTTTTTTTTCGTATATATAAGTGCATATATATGTCTATACGATGATCTACCTCCAAATCCAGTGCTACACAAGCAGCTCAGTCTCCAGTCTGCACTAGCAAGCGCATCACGTGGGCTCCTCATGGCTCATGCGCGTCGTCGTACCGGAGCCCATCCTCAGCGCGGCGAACCCGGGCATGGACGCCGACCTGGTCACGTTGCCTCCGCGGTACGACAGCGACGACGGTGCGGGGACGGAGGCCTGCTGCAGGAACATGGCGTGCCCGCTGCCGCCGCCGCCGCCCGGCGTCGGCATGGGCGCGGGGTGGAAGCACGGGGGGCCGGGCCTGGGGCCGTCGTGCCCGTGCCCGCTGCCCGACTGACGATGCATCTCGATCTTCAGGTACGGCGGGCGGCCCCCGGCTCTCGGGGTCTCGTCCGACGGCCCGTGGTGGTGGTGATCGTCGAAGTTGTCCTCGTCATCGTCGGTGAGCGAGCACACCGTGCTCGTCTCCGTGCGGGCCGTCGAGTCGTCGCCGCGCCGGCGACGCCGCTTCTTCCTCGTCGCCTTTCCCCACCCGTGTATGGTCTCTCTGATCCTCCGTGGGATCAGTGCCGCCTTGTACTTGGACCCCATCTGTTGCCGTGCAAGCATATCATTTAGCAAAGATGCAGAATCAAGTCTTCTCCTCCGTACTGATGCATTTCTAACATTTGAAAACTAATCAAACCAATCGATATGTATTTATCAGAAAAGTCATTTAATCTGAAGCTTAATTTTGGCATATATACATGTAAATCAGTAAATGTGTTGTTACCTGAGTGACCAGCGCATAAACAGGCAATGTACTGTAACTGCACAGGAACTGTCCAGCAAACCTGACATTTTGTATCGGTGGAGTTTATCAATTATCATACATATATATATATATAAGGGCAGATCCAGTGCCGGAGGCTCCCACATGAGTAGGGTCTGGGGAAGGGAAAAACCGAGGCAAGAGCTCTCACCACTGCACCAGGCCTGCCCTTCATATAATATATATATAGACAGATATTATTTTAGTTTCATGATTTAAATGAGTACTAGTAGAAACTATGGGTTCTTTTTTTTTTGAAAGAGAAGAAACTAAGGGTTCTGAAATCCATACCCCAGTATAAGGCGGCAATATACCAAAAGGTGGTTTTTGATGAAGCATGAATCATAACCAAATTGCCACTGCAGCAAAGTCAACAGATATATATGTTATCATATAGCTTTTGCAATGAACAGAAAGGCTCTCACAGTGATCACACGATTTATTTGAAACACATGGACTGGACAGAAATCATACCCAGAACCAGAAGAACAAAGCCTACTCAAAGGCATTCTGCACAATTATCAAATTGAAGCACAAGTAAGTTTATGTTCATCTCTTATCTGCTTTCAAATTACTTAGCAGTATACATGTACCTGAAAGAGAACGAAGTGTATTAACCAAAGGAGAAACTCTGGTTTCTTGAACCAAAAGAGATCATCCCTTGGCTGTATCCTTGGCCCGTAGGTGCTCATCTTCGCACCCTCTGCTGTTAGAGTTGCAATGACATGCTGCAGCTTTGCACCCACTAGAAGAACAAGCTACACAGCATTCGCATTCCAGTTAAGGCCAAAACTTTTCAGAGAAACCTAGGTTGCAGAATGTTGAAGCAGGCTACAACTTACTGTTACAGGAAGGCTTGCTATCCAAAAGTACAGGTTGGATCCTAAAACAAAATCACCATTTACGAACGTTGGACAGTGAGGAAACAAAAATATCTCAAAGGAAGGAAAGTGGTTCGAAGTTTACCGTCTACATTAAATAACATAAAACAAACAACGAAGCCCCACAACAGTCCACTGCATAAAAGGAGTAAGTTATTAGCTGATCATATTTCTCCAATATGAAAAAAAAAAACTAGAAATGCATATGCAGCCAACCACAGACACTAAACAGGGCTTACTATTACACTAACCTCACTCCAACAATCTTCTCAAACTCCTCTTCCATTGAGCGTATCATGTAATTGTGGAAATCATATGTTGGCGGAAGATTGTGGATCTGCAATCATCAGTATGTCAAACATGAGTACATGACTACAAGGGTTTACATTTAGTTCACAGCAGTATGGATGGAACTATAGCGTGTCTCTAATCGGTTACAAATAGCAACACTCAATAAACCAATATAAAGGGTATCAGGTAAGGCCCAACACCATATATGAATAAACACACTGAAGGCCAAATATAGGAGAGTTCTACTCAGAATTGAAGAGCAAAGAACTGGCATACCATTATAAAACCCTTGCGCAAGATAAGGTAGTCTGCTCGAACAACAGACTGACCAAATTGTGCAATAAAGCAAACCTGCATGGTAGCATAATCAAAATCGTAAGTGCAACTGGCGTACCCAGTGCAGAGAGCTCCCGCTCTGTGCGGGGTCTGGGGAAGGGTGTTAGTGGCATGGAAGCAATAATAGTAATATTTCTTGACCCTAAGCATGGAAGCAGAACATTCTGCCTCCGATGAGCTATAAAGTTTATTTGCCTCAACGTACAAGCCACATGACCACATTATTTTGGCTCCAAGAGCGGAATGAATAGGATTTGGTAAGTGCTGGCTGCCTTCTAGTTGCTGACTCATATGCGATCTCTGTCAAACGCAAATTAGAAGACGAATAATCAGACTGAGTTTGATGACAATATGGTTAGTATCACCAATGACATAGGAAAATGCTCCAACTACAGAAGTAAGGGAAGAGAAGCTTTGTTGAATCAGATGCACCCCTAGGTTATAAAAACACTTCGCTTAGGAAAACAAGATTAAAATTATTGCAGATCTATTTTCAAGAAAAGATATCACAGTTTCCCTGCAAGAGCCATTAAATGACCTTCAAAAGCAACAATTAAAAAAATATACTACAGTCTCCCTGAACAATGTTTTTAATGAACACATTGCCCCAGAATGTGTTATTTGGAGTTTCAGACCAGAAGAGTACAAATTGATTACTGATTTCCTTATTAAGAAATGCCTTATTCTCAAAAGCCTTTCACTTCTGTTTCGCATCATTACATCAAATAAATTTCCAATTTAGCTTCTGTAGTTTATTTTTAAGGGTCAAAAGGATACACTTACGAGAAAATGATTCATGATTATCCCTGAATGCTTCATCCTCCCATTTTCTCCATTTATGGATCTAACAGCAAGCAAAGATTAGGATCAATGTGACATCAATGTCAATCATAATATATGTGTGCACAACCAATCTGAGAAATGAGAACCAACAAAATGCAAATAAGTGCTCTGTTTGTTCATGTGCATAGTGTATTCAAAATGCTAATGCTTCATCATGGATCAATTTGTAATCAATAGACTGACACACTGTTTGATATATAGATGAAAACATACAAGCTTCAGCAATGTCAGTTTTCCATATAAGCTATGTACAGTAGAGTGTATTTTGATAAAAGGGGTTAATTTGGCGTTTGCTTTCTATAAAAATCAGGTATAATAAGGCCTTTGGTCGAAACTGAAAGGGCTAATTTGTGCTTTAAATGGAACTACAAATAAAAAAGATAGAAATACTATCATATGATAAAGGGTTAAAACCTTGAGTATTGCTAGCAACATCGTCAAGCAGCTATATGTCACATGAGTCACAGCCATTACAAATATAAACCGGTGCAGCTGCTCCAAACCTTCATGCGAAACAAACAACTCGTATCCCTGCACATCAAACGAACTTTATAAGAACACCAAAAGAAGCAAAACTGGAAAATTAATATAAGTTTTAGTAGGATGATTGGCTATGTATTAACTCTTCGAGACAGTTTTGCCAAACTCTAAAACATTTGCACACCTCACGGCAGCCTTGATGGTTATGGTAACTAGTTTTTAGATTTCTCCTCATTGAATGGTGCAGGATAACCTCCAGTAGATGCTTGCGTGCGTGAGCAATGGCATGCTCTGCATTTATCGATTCTTCAACCTCTTCTTTGGTGCATGGGGAGAATCTGCTGTTGTAGTACTAGGAATCGATGCAGATCCCAGAGATGATTCTTGACGTCGCAGCCAGAAGCAGAGATATGAATCCAAGCAGCATCATTTCTGCAACGAAAAGGTAGCTAAGCCTCTTTCATGAAAAACATAACAAAGAACGCATATGTGGAATTATGGATACCTTCCTTCATCTTCTCCATTGCTTTGTAAAGTGGATTCCGGTGAGTTTTCTTCAACCACTGAAAAATTGACTATCATGAGTTGGTTGCCGGGAAAAAAAGACTGATGATACTGATAATACGACACCTAACCTAACGAAGTCAATGAGAAAGGTAACAGCAGATGGAGTTTGAATAGAGCAGAGAGTGCATGTTTGTGCTAATAAAGCAAACAATTTCTCAAAACAGGATCCTAATAAAGCAACAACTGATCATATGATATCTGAAAGCAACTCTTAAATCACAACCAACTGTTGTTTTCAAATCCGAGAAAAAAAATGAACATGGACAAAAGAAAAGTAATCCTACAAAGCATGATAAGCAGGTAATCATGAGAGAGAAGGCAGAGAGTGCATGTTCATGCTGATTGGGCAGGCACTCACATTGCTGAGGTGATTGATGGAGCGCTCCATGAGGAGCGAGCCCGCGACGAGGAGGGTGAGCACGGTGGCGACGGACCACGTCGGCGTGAGCGCCAGCGACCGCATCTCCCCTCCTCCGAGACCGCGGCCGAGCCCTCGCCGCCCGCCATCTCCTCTCCCGCCTCCACGCGCAAAACCAAAGCCGGTGCTGCCGCTGGCTCTCCGTCTCCTCTCCCACCCTCTCCGTACTACTCCTCAGGACCGACCAACCGCACCTCCGCGTATCACATTGGAACCAGCGCCATGGGAGGACGGAGGTGGCGGTGGCCCTGGCGGGAAGCTCAGCTCAGGGATGCAAACGAAGACGAAGAGCAGACCGAGACGGTGTGGAAATGCGGAGGAGTTTCTTTCTTGGCCTCGCTCGGTGTAGGGGTGGGGGGCGGCGTCACATCATCGCCATTGACACCGGTCAGGAAGGAGAGGAAGAAGCACTGGAAACGAGAAGGAAAATGGGGGATCTTGGAGTATGATGGAGGAGCAGAAACGTTATGTATCTCCTCCTCCTTCTCCCGTTCGATTAGTCTATGATGACGATGATGATGGGCTATATTTAGTCCCTCCCTGGCTTTTGGAGCTTGCGGGGAGAGGGCGATGTGGTGCAGGCAAACCTTGTCGCGAGCTCACTCTCCTGTGTCCTGTCCTCTGATCACAATGGAACCAGGAAACAATGGCGGGTAGGAGAGGTAGCTAACGCGGGTTCAGAAGAGGAAGAGATGGAGCAACGGACAGACAAAATGGAGGAGCAGCAGGAAGCAGGGAGAACGAGGGGAAAAATGGAAGGCTTGCTTTTGGGAGCTTGTGGTGTGATGCTGTGGCTTCCAGGATCAACAACAACAAAGGTATAGTACTAGTAAGCAGCAGCTAGGAAAAGGACGCAGCAGAAGCAATTGGCTGCGGCAGAGTGGAAGAATCGGCAGTTGGGAAGATGACGGGAGAGAGATTAGTACAAATTGGCAGCCAAAAGGGGGGGATCTTGATTCTTGAGGAACGATAAACCACTTCGTTTTGCCTTCTCCTCCAGTTGCAGTCCCATGACTCGCTGCATCCCCTGCTGCTGCTTAAACAAATGGAGCGGCCACGCCGCAAGAAGATTCGCGGGTGGCTCCGCCAATCCGCCCGGGCTGCTCGCTCAGCTCGCTCTGCAAGTACAGCGCTCCCACTGACACAGGCACGCGGAGGTGGGGCCCGCCCGGGCACACCTAGACCTAGCTAGAGGCTGACGTTCGTCTAACTGACAGGTGGGCGCGGAGAAGGGTGGGCCCGACGGTCAGTGTCTGTGTCGCTGCATGTGCCGGGGAGGGAGGAGGGGTGGACGCGTACGTGCGCCGGGTGGGTGAGTGAATATAGGAAGCTGTCCGGTGTGGCAGTTGGGGGTGGCGGATGCGCGCCTTCAACCCGATCTAGATTAATTAAAAGTGGAATTCGATGCAAGCGGAGGCCTCGCTGTGCTTGCTTCCCATGCATTAAACAGCCTCACTCACTCAATCAATCAAGGGGTTAGTCGCTCCTAAAATTAATGTGACATCAAATATTTAGAGGCTAATAAGGAGCATTAAATAAAAATTAATTACAAAACCAATTACATAGATGGAGGCTAATTTCTAAAACGATTTTAAGCCTAATTAATCTATCATTAGAATATTTTTGTACCAAATAAAAATCAAAACTAATTAGGTTTAAAAGATTCGCTCGCAAAAATTTTCACAACTCAACAATTAGCCATAATTAATCTATATTTAAAGTGGAATTCGATGCAAGCGGAGGCCTCGCTGTGCTTGCTTCCCATGCATTAAACAGCCTCACTCACTCACTCACTCACTCACTCAGTCTTTGCCTTGAGTTCATGAGCTGCCTCCCCACCACCACCACGCGTTAATACAGTACATGAATGAATCTCCTTCCTGTCCGTGTGATCGTGCAATTTGACCAGGATTTAACGTTGTTGCCGATCACGCACTCCCTCCGTTTTTAAATAAATAAACAATGTCAGATTAGTAATAAAATAGATTTTTATAATAAGCATATTAGGAGATACAAAAATTAACATAGTATTTTTTATATAAATCTAGTCACTCACGAAAAATAAGAAGGAAGGAGGGGGAATAGTCAGTAGTGGCACCCGCTTCAGTCGTTTCTTATCTTGCGGTTTTGTTTTCCGACTTGCCATGACTTTAGAGCTTAGCACAAATGTCCCGCACCGGAGAGCGATCAAGGCATATATAGATGACATGTATTTGGAGCATCATCTGTCCTCGTCTATTCACGACATCTTTTGCTAGTTTTTGTTTTCCAAAGTGCCTTGAGAGGCCCTACTATACTCTCTTCAAGGCTACAAAAAAAATCTCAAGAAATTAAGTGGTAGGAAACCCCTAGATTTCATGCAAGACAAAGTTATGTTCACATACTACCATGAAAAAGGTCTTAAAGTTAGATGTGGTCTAGTAAGCACTGATGGTCTGATGCGATGGTTGATTTGGAACCACCCTTATCCAGCTTTCGATTTTGCCCATTCTTAGTATTACTACTTCCCTAATCTCTCATTGTTCTGAAAATGAAGCGACAAACGGGTGTGAGTACGCCACCTAGCTTGGCAGCACACCCACCGGTTCACCTCAAACAAACTCTACTGCTCTAGCGTAGCGGCGGCATTGTCGACGGCGAACCTGGCCACAGCAGCCATCGCCACACAAAATCCTGCGCCACAGCTGCGGAAAGCGCACGAATGCACGCACGCGGCGCACACCTTGCTTCCGTTGGGGATCTTGCAATGGCAATGCATAGGACGCCGAACTGATCACAGTTGCCAAGGCCATTTATCCGATCCCAATCCACCCGTCAATCAGCTAGCAAAATCATTATGAAGAGCCCACCCAGCTCCATTCCACACACGTGATCCGGACACTCTGGAGATCCATCTCTGCTCCCCATTCCTACCAATCACAAATATCACCAGATGTTTCGTCATCCCCGAAAAAAAAATCAGCAGAAATGCATGGCTCATATAAACAAGTCAAAATCTGCGTACTCGTCGACTCTCCTTAAAAAAGACGAATTATAAGATAGCGAGCTGACTACAACATCTGCCGTACTCGTCGACTCTCCTTTGAAGCGAGCTGTACACTTGTTTGGAACGTCGGAGTTTTTCTTTTACTGTTCCTGATTTTTTTTCTCTATGGAATCGAACTGATTTCTGTACAATTCTTATGAAATTTCTGCATTCAGTTCCAAACAGGTTGGTACTGTCCCCCTTTACTGAATGTAGGCGACGGTGCAGCCGTAGTTGAGAGGGCTCTCGTCCTCGAACCTGGCCACTCGAGGATGGTTCCGGAGGACGTCAATGGCGCAGTCCTTCACTGCCCCGGTGCCCATGCCATGAACCACGAAGAGCACCTGGTACGGCCTGCACGCATCGATGGCCATCCGGAGCTCGTAGGCCGCCTCGCTGACCCGCTTCCCGCGCAGATTCACCGTGTTCTTGGACGTCTGCACGGCAGGGCCGAAGGAGACGCTGCCGCCGCCATCTGTCGTTGCCGATCGCTGCTTCGGTGTTCGGCCCTGGTGGAAAGCAAACATGGTCAGAGCACGATTGCAGCAAAGCCAAGCAAACCAAGCCACGACAGTGGGCGTTTACAAGGCATGCCATGCCGACCATGCCAATCCTCGATGATCCGAACATGCCTACTATCTAGGTACAGCAACGGCGGCAGAGTTAACGAAGGTTCATGCATGCATGCACCAGCCTTGCATCATTGCTTGGAGCCTTGGACCATATCCTAGGTCCAGCCTGTTCTTCCATGCTGCTGCATCTGCCCGAACTAAAGCCAGGCCAGGAATTTGCAGGTCAGAATCAATGCATTCTGTAGGGCTGAAGATAACTTGGTTTCTCTAGACATGTTATTGCAATATGCCACCCGTTAGACAACGGGAATGCCGAAAAAATCGACTAAACTGGTTGGTCGATATGCCACCGATGTATGAACATGGAGCAACTATAGCTAGCTTAGTTTTAGAACCTTGTTTTTCCAGTCACTGCTACCTTGAAACAGATTTTATCATCATATACTCGCAACAAATCACATGGCTTGGTTAAAAGATGTCTCAGACATTCTGAATATATCCGTTCTGTCTCAGACATTCTGAATATATCCGTTCTTATCATCTTGTGCGGTTCATTAAGATTACTAAAATTATCAATGCTGTGAATAGATAGTATGTTGAGATGATGCATCATACCTTTGCTTTTACAGAAGAGGAAGTTGTTGCCTCATTATTTGTGCCTCTTTGAACCAATTTTATCTTGCTTCTTTTGACTCGAACCTTTATCTTTCCATATTGAACCATACAGCTCTCATCTTCTCCAAAAGTTTCGACAACAGTAGCCATCATTCCTCCTCCCAGCCCTTGAATATACACTTTGTCTCCAATTTGTGGGACAAACGAGCTCTGGTTTTCATCGTCATCGAAAGTTATTTCGCTTGGCTGATGAGCAGCAACCACGGAAGCAGTGGCAGCTTCTGCTTTCCTCAATAGCGAATTGTATTGTTCAAGTTTTGAATTCTTTAGCTGAGCTTCAAAGTTCTTGATTATGGTGTCCATCTGAGACTTTACAACCTTCAATTCTTGTTGTACCTTTTGGGTCTCTCTTGTTCTCAAAGCAGCTACTCGACTTTCAAGATCATCAGCTTCCAAGCGAATCTTCAAAGTGAAAATATACCAGGTTGGATTTAAAATGAGAGGAAGGTGAGAATCTATGTACATCACTGCTACAGAAATTTCAAAACATTATGAGTATAAGTACCTCATTGTACAGCCCCTCAACTTGTGAAACAATAGATGCAGCTTTATTTGCTTGAGATTCCAAAAGTTTTTTTTCATCGAGGAGAGAATCATAAAGTAAACCTTGCCGCTCCTTTTGCTTATCAGGCAATAGTTTCTCAACCCATTCTTGTGCACGATCAAGCACTTTTTGATCAAAACCAATTGACTTTGCAATACTAAGTGCATTAGAATTACCAGTACTGCCCCATAAGATTCGGTACGTTGGCTGTAGAGTTTCTACACAAAATTCCATTGCAGCATTGTCGAATCGGTTGTCAACTGACTGGAGCCGACTTAGATCAGCATAATGAGTTGTCACAATGGCCAAATTCACTTTACTCGCAAGATACTTCAAAATGCTGGTTGAAAGAGCTACACCTTCAGATGGATCAGTGCCGCTGCCAATCTCATCAATTAGAACTAGAGAGTCCTTTGATACGATTTCTACAATGCTGCGCAGACGTGATATGTGCCCACTGAATGTAGAGAGGCTGTGCTCCAGTGACTTCAATCCAAAAAATAGTTTTCATCAATAAGCTTATTGTCCTGCAAGTGATTAGAGAAATTCTCATCAAAGGACAGAGACTACCTGGTGATCGCCAATATCTGCAAGAACCTGATCAAACCATGGAATCCTAGGACTTCCTTTGGCTGGGAAGAACATACCAGCTTTTGACATAAGCGAGGACAGCCCCAAGGTCTTCATAGTGGCAGTTTTGCCTCCAGTGTTAGGTCCAGAGATGACAACTATCCTTGCGTCCTTTTTACCCACATGTCCAATGGAACAGGCATTTCAGGTGCTTCTGTAGTTGATTCTTCTGCCATAAGAGACTGTTCAAGTAGAAGAGGATGTCTAATGCCCTCAATATAAACTGAATAGTCAGTATACTGATCCGATTGGCTAATGGTATAACTATCAGTGAAGGTTGGTTTGACACCATTTGTCCATCGGGCATACGACCCTCTAGCACAAGCAAGGTCCAATTCCAAAACCTTGTCCATCAAATTTCTGATCTTCAGTTTGGAGTCTGCGATCATTGAGGTAAGTAATCTCAATATTGCCAGTTCCTCTGCTCTCTCGTCTCCTGAGAGTTTAACTTCCCTGTTGTTGAGCTCAACAGCATCCCATGGCTCCATAAAGTACGTTGCACCAGAGCCACTGGAACTCAGAACGATTCCACCAGGCACCAAATGCTTGTGTGAAGCTTTCACACCAACACACATCCTAGAACGGCGCTTGGTGACCAGAGGACTATCAATCCCACCAGCCTGGAAAATCTTTGCAGCTGTATCTTTCAGCAGAGATTCTAACATTTCGATGTTCCTCCGCCTTTCTCGGCGGATTATTTCTAACTTTTTGCTTGCCCGATCCAGGACAAGAGAAAGGGTGGAATCAAGGCAAAACTCTATCCTTTGAACAAGTTCAGTTAAGAAGTCACAGCCTTGCAGTATATCTACAAGAGAAGAGTACCTGCAGGAGAACAAATAGACATTCTTTTAATCTGAAAACAAGAACCAATAATATCCAGACTCATGTAATGTGTATGACACTATGTGAACAGTAACATGGTAACCAGCATTACGATTTACATCCACAATACACATCAAAATGATCAAACAAAAATACTAGTACTGCCTGATGATAGCATGTTTCAATGCCATCCAATTCATCAGGACGCACCAAAGCGATTCCTCACCTTCCATCCGGCATATCATCGGCAAGCCTCCTCAACTGGTCGAACACCGCCTGCACGGCACGGATGCTGCGCCCAACTGCGCAAAGCTCCCTCACCGCAAGCGCCCGGCCCGCGGCCGCCGCAGCGACGAGCGCGGACACGTCCTCGACGCCGCCAAAATCGAGCGGCGTCGGAAGCAGCACCGCCGCCGCCGTCTGGTCGAGCAGCCTCTCGCTCTCCTCCCGGCTCTGCCCGACGGGGACGCGCCCTCCCTCGCAGGCGGCGCGGCCGGCGGCAGTGGAGGCGAAGTGGACCAGCCGCCCGCACACGCCGCCCCATTCCAGCGCTGACTCCGTCTCCAGGCGTATCTGCCTCGCCTCCGGCGTCTCCGGTGAGGAGCGAGATGGTAGGTTGTAGGAGGAGGTTTCGGTGGCCGCCGCTGTGAGGCGTTGCGGCGGCTGACGACGTGGATTCTGCATGAAGCCGCGCGTGCGGTGGGAGGACCTAGACGAGAGGGTCACTGGGAGGAGAAGGGTAAGCTTACCTGTGGCAGCCATGGATGGAGGAAGCGGGTGTCTCTTCCGCTTCCGGTGACGGAGGGAGGTCCACACCGACGGACTGCTTCCCCCTTATCCTACTCGTTTGGGTACGGATAGGGATAGAGGCTTGAGCAAAACAGGCCCGCCGAGCTAAGCCCAGCCCACGGCTCTTGTTGGGCCGGTCTTTGAATGAAAAGGTTAAATATGAACCAAGAAGGATTTGACAATTTCCGAAACATTTGATTTACTTATTTGCATTATAAAGTTGGGATTTGCTTGCGCCTGGACGTCCCACGGGATAGGATTCCGTCAGACGGCCGTTTCTAGCATGCGCATGCACAGTCTATCTCCGCCCACTAATTTGCCCTGCTTGCATGCGCATCGTGTCGCCGTCGAGTCCGAACGACTCGCTCGCAATCCGTCCCGTCCACCTCGATTCGACCCGCCCCCGTCTGTGCACCCCCGCCTCATCCATTCGCCCCGCCCCGCAGGCGCACTCCGCCCTGTCATGCCCCCGACCGTCGGCCCTAGCACGCCGCATGCCACATCCGTCGCCCACGGGCTCGCCGCGCCCATTTCCCAAGCGCCCCTGCCTTGCCACCATCACTCCTATGTGCTCCCTGACTCTCTAAACAGCATGAAACGCTTGAATGCAACATACGTCTGAAACAGATGAAACATCTAGAACACACACTTGCAACTTGCAACTTGCAACATGAAAACACTTGCTGCAATGGAAGACTGGAACAGATGAAACATTTGGAATATACTGTTGTAACATATGTGTGAAACATATGCAACATCCAGATCAAAACGCTTGCAACATACGTCTGGAATAGATGAAATATTTTGAACAAACTCTTGCAACATATCTCTGAAACACTTGCAACATATGCAACATCCCCGATCTATTTTTGCAACATCCATATGAAACAATATGCAACATACCTCTAAAACGTATGAAACACTTGAAACATATATTTGCAACGTAGGGGAGGGAGAGCGCTATTTTGTCGGTCGTTCATTTCAAGCCACAAGCACCACTAGCATCCAAAGACAATGCAATGAAGTTACCACATATGAAAACACTTGGTTCGCCAGCGCAACGGGACGGAGGCGGATCGGCAGCAGATGAAACATTTGGAATATATTGTTGTAACATATGTGTGAAAACATATGCAACATCCAGATCAAATTGCTTGCAACATACGGGCTTTGGCCCGAATAGATGAAATATTTCTCACCGCAAAAAAATTTCTTGCAACATCCCTTAAAACTTGCAACTATTTTTATATATGTGTGAACCCAAGCCGCCCCGACTCGAAAAAAACTAGGCCCAACTTGTCCAATGGTACCGTCATGGGCGGGACTTTTTCGGCCCAAAATAACCGGGCTTTTTTCGGCCCAGCCCGCCCAGCAAAATGCTCAGGTCTAGCCGCAAGGCCCTGCGACAGGGGATTAGAAAGCGGAAGGATAAGGATGAGTGATTTTTTTAATAAACTCGTGGGCAGAGTAAGCGATAGGGTAAAAGCGCAAGCAACGAGGCGGTGAACCTACGGGAGCGTCCGACGATTTGCTCATGTCGAACGTAAGACACGTAGCACTATCGTGTAAAATTTTATTTTTGTAGCCAGAGCCCCAAGTCTATTTTGGCAAGGTGGTCAGAAAATTATGATACAAATGTTTTTTTTTAGTCATGGGACTGGTCAGATCATCGTTGGCTGGTTTTTGTCTAGCAAATACTAAAAAAACCTGTGGTTTGATTAGCAGGCATGGTCTGAGCCTGGTCCTGGATCACTTCATCTAACCGTCGTTGGCCGTAGTGCTCCAAACTGATGCTTGACAGCTTAAGGTCTTTGGTTGGTCGTTTGACTCGTTTCCGTTGTTATGTGCCCAACTTAGCAGTCTTGTGATCTTATAGGTGGCCTTGGGTTTTAGGCTCAATTGCTCCTCGCAATCGAGCAACCTCTTGTAGGTGGCCTTGGGTTTTAGGCTCAATTGCTCCTCGCAATCGAGCAACCTCTTGTAGGTGGCCTTGGGTTTTAGGCTCAATTGCTCCTCGCAATCAAGCAACCTTTGGCTGTGGCCGTGCACGAACATTTCTTCGTCCTCTTAGTGAAACGCATGCTCGCGAAAAAAAGTTTCATGGAGATAAAATTATCTCGCTATATAAAGCAAAGTGTCGGAGTGAATCTTCCGAGTAAAGGCAACCAAAGCTTGAGGATGGAACCATCTACTCGTCTTCCCCATGAATAGTCACCTCTACACTACACCAAATGCCCATAACACCATACCAACATAAGAAAGAGACGTGAAAATGGTCAAAGTGTATTCTTCCATATCAATACAGAGAACCAATAGTCTAATTGGGGATCGAGGCAAAATGCATGCCAATACCTTTAGACTGCTACTACACAACAATGACAGTTCAATTATATACAAGAGCAACCTACAAATTGACACAACCAAAAAAAAAAACCCCTACAAATTGACATAGTGCATACGATTGTAAAAACTACGGATCAACAATGGCAGCTCTGGATCCACCTGAAACAAAAGAATAAACACTGAATATTACTGTCTTATCATGCTAGCTACTTCTGCATGCATAATTTCATTATATGTGTAGTATATGTAGTGATAAAAGGTATGATATTTAATTAAAAAGAAAGATATCCACCACTGTACCTGCATGTTACTTAGCGAGGATAGGAACACCACAAGCAACATTTGCATGCTTGTCTTCAGCAAACACTAGGTTTCCTCTCACAAAAGTTGACAGGACCTTACCAGAAAGTTGCTTTCCTAGATACGCCGAAATATTCTGCAAAAAGATAATGAAATTACTTGTTATTTGCCAAGTATCAGAGTATAGCATTTTAAATAGCTGAATTTTTATAGGGTCATTTGAGGAAGGAAGTAAACCTGATGTTTATGATATATAGCATGGTTGTCATCAAGTTGGAACTCAGTTTCGGGTTTCCATACTACTATGTCAGCATGGTATCCTGGTAGAATAGCTCCCTACATGATTCAGTACTAACACATGAGATGCATTTTTCATCTACAAGATATTTCTTGGAGAATACATGAAGAATGATAACTGAACATAATTCTTTGGTGTCTGACTTGAACGTATTGCATAATTTTAAGTACCTTGTTCTTTTGGCCTGCAAGCTTGGCTGGCTTTTCGCTCCACCATGAGGCTAGCTGATTCAGAGTAATGCCATACTTTCGCCCATATGACCATGTTACCGGGAGGACAAACTACAAATAGTTATGCCAAAATAATTTAATGCAAAAACATCGAATCCGCAAAACACCTTTCTTTTTAGAAGTTTAGCATCACACTTCCACTTCCATTATGAGGTATTGTTCTTTATTACAACTTAATTAAGATACCAAAAATGCTTCAATTGATAACTTTTGAAGTTAGTGATCTTGAACTAATTCGCATGATTTTGCAAATGGTTTTGTACACAAACTAACCTGCAATGATGATATGCCTCCCCATGCCCTTAAAAAGTTGCCTTCCTCCATTAGCTTGAGATCAGGAGTTGATGGTGAGTGGTCTGAACTTAGCATGTCTATGTGTCCATCCTAATATTAATTATGCCATAAACCAATAGTTAGCATATTAATAGAACACTTTATTAAGTGTTCACTTCAAAAATAGAAAGTGGCAAAAATAGCATTACAAGTAGAGCTTTCCAAAGATTTTCTCTGTTTGTGTCATCACGTATGGGAGGAGAACATTTAAAGCGAGTATCTCCATCTGGAACTTCTTCAGATGAAAATGCCAGGTAATGAGGGCATGTTTCTATTGATAAACTTGCACCACTGCGTTTAGCATCCTACAAGCAAAGGGAGTTGTAGTAAGTAAAACCAACCAAAAACACCTTTGATAAAAAAAAAAGTAACTAGAGATAAACTGTCATATGTGTGAACTTGTCCGCAACAATAGTTGTACATATTAGGAGCAATGTCTAATTCTCATTAACAGTGAATCTTCCCTTCCATACGTTGATGGAGTTTCTTTTAGGACGTTAAAACTTAAAACCATAAATTTAGATAAGTCATGGAAAGTCGCACAACATTTTTCATATGATGTCATTCAACCTTCATAAGTTCATCAAGATTTGAGCATAGTGCGAGAGGAAAGGAGTTGTGAAATGACAAGGAAGTTTTTGCATCTGATAGATGAACAATGTGAATATGAGCTCCTTCGGAGAAACCCTAATGGGCTGGCCCACCGACCACCCGACTCCGTATCCTTCAAGTGCTATTTTTTCATATGATGTCATTCAACCTTCATAAGTTCCAAGGAAGTTTTTGCATCTGATAGATGAACAATGTGTAGATCTCTCTGATAGCTGCTTCCTCCCTGGTTTTAAAGAGATTGCATAATTTATAAAGTGAGGTCATTTATGGTAAAACTTATCGTACATAATTTTAAGTTGTACGGAAATGCAATTGACACTGATCGAAATACAATTGACACTGATCCTAGTACAGTTTAAATTGTACAAAACTCAGTTGACACTACAGCTCCTCACACCTATTGTTTATGCATGTTTTTCAAACAGTAAGTTTTGAGGTATGTACTCTAGGATCCCATAAAAATCAAGATATAGAAGCCCAGCACCTAAGATAGAGACTACCATTCAATTCCTTGCAGCATAAGGGCAAGAATTACCATGATGGTGGTCTAGACTTTAGATACGTCATATAGGATCGAGGATCTAGTTCATCCTCTTGCACATCATCATCCTCAGCCTCAGGTATACGTTCTGCATGGATAAGTAAAGGTCTCTTGTATTTTGCCAGTGTAACCAATCCTTCCTACAGTGTTAAACATTAAGGGAAACTCGTCAGAGATTCCATAAGAATCAATCCAAAATAAGGAAATAATGCAGCATACCTCGATATGAGTTGAATTTGTCATGGGGAAGTCGTTGATGCCAGAGGGGCACATAAAAGACTAGAACCATGAAATGAAAGCGAGAGGCAATTAGTTTGTGAGTATATCTGCTGGTTAAAAGGAGGAAAAGGAGTATGGCCCAACCCCTAATTAGCAAGAACCTCCAAACAATGGACTTGCTGTGCTGCCTGGTACTACTATTGTCCTAATGTTCTATTGTGCATGCTTAGCTTCCTTGTGAAAACAAGGAACCAGGAACAGAGACTGAAATGATGTCGAAAGCCCAGTGCTTATAGGTTACAACTACAACATGTTGAAGTTTCAGTGCTGTCTGGAAGCTGAGAAACAAACCTTGAGTCCTAAAACGCCTGCATTTAGGAGACTCTCTAAAGCACTTGGGTTGAAGGCGTTCTCTGGCACAAGGCCTCCCCAGAACCCTGTATAAGAGTAGCACACGCAGGAGTCAGATTTTGACATTTTGTACGGTGTCTCAATTTGGAAAACCAGAAATAAGAAAACCTTTGGTTTCAGTGTTTCAGTCAGTCAACTTACCCACATCAACATATAGCTTATCTTGAGCTGCTTCCAGCTGAAATTCAGTCATGCAATGGCAGTGTCAATGACAGACATGAAGCAGAGTAGCAACGGTGTATGGTACTTGCAACTGACAGAGAAACCTTACCTTCATTTTGAGAGTTTCTTCAGAGACTGTTGACGGGAAGCTGTTGAGTGGCATATCCACCAACGTCGTTATCCCACCTGAAACAAAAATGACCCACACGATTTATACAAGAAATTAAACTTGCTGTTAAAGAGAAACTATGCATTGTAAACTTGTTATTTGCTCTGCTTGCTCTTGACTGAGAGAGCCTGAGGCCATGCCCATGCTCCATAAGGGTGTACATACAGGTGCACGATGACCACTGCCATAACTATACTGTAGACTGTAGTGGTACGTAGTAACCAGTTAGCTGTGGGCTGAAGTGAATTTGCACCTGCCGCAGCTGCTCTTGTACCGGTGGAGAAGCCCTCCCACTCGGCACGTCCAGGCTCGTCGAGATGGGCATGCCTGAAGAAATTAATTAATCATCAGGACCATCAATCAAACAGCGGGTAAAAAGAAATTAAAACTGGAAGAGTTAGAGAAAGCATCGCTGCTGACAACAACATCTTGGCCATGCCTAATCTCCCTCCATCAGTTGATCATTATTCAGTTCGGCAGGTTAATAGTAGTATTAAGTTTAAGTATGATTACGAGATGAGATGCTTACACGTCGATGAGGCCGGGCATGATGACGGCGTCCCCGTAGTCCAGGAGCGGCCGGCGGAGCACGAAGCTCCGGTAGTCCCCGACGGCGATGGCGTTGATGAGCCCTCCTTTGACCTCCACTGCAGGCACCAATCAATCAACCACGCAACAACCATCGGCATCAGAGAGCTCCAAGCCACAACTCTCAACCGCATGCTCTAGCCGTCGGCTTCCACTTGCGCCCGCAGGCCTCAGTGGCAGCGTCGAACAACGATGGCGAGGAAGGGAGGGCGGATATGACATGGAACGGTCACCGTAGTTCGTACCTGCGGCGGGGCCGACGCGGCCGAGCGTGACGACGCGGTCGCTGGCGATCCAGAAGTGGTCGTGCGGGAGGAGGCTGCACCCTTCGCCGCCCAAGCTCTGCAGCAACAGGAGACGCGCACGGCTTCAGCTGTCATGCCGCCGCCGCCACAGATTCGATACGACGGGGACAGAGAGAGATGGAACAGAGAAGAGACACATGGAACGAAAAACAAACAAAAATCGCTGTCAGGATGGAATATAATCCCGGGGACCTTGGAGAAGGGCGCGCGGTAGAGGAGCACGGCCGCGAGCGCCGCCGCCACCGCGAGCACGGACACGAACCGTCCCTTGGCCGACGCCACCATGGTTTGCCCTGCACGGCTGCGCCTCCCTTGTCCTGCTCCTCCTCGCAGTCGAGTTGCGTCCCTTTCTGGATTCTGCCCGTGGGTGGGATCCCGTGGGATCCTGCGCTCGGCTAGTCTAGTGGCTTGGCGGCTCCTGCGCTCGGCGCTGAGCTGGAACCGTGGACGCGGGGGGGCACCTGGTGGTCGCGTGGATCCGGAGCACCCAACCCATGGGCTCGTGGATTCCTGTGGGCCCGGGATGTCGGTGGGACGTCCCGTGGCGTGTTCCACTGGACCGGGCGCGCGGAGCGCGCTCCTGTGGGCCAAGGTAGTCCTGTCACGCTGTGTGGCTTGTCGGGTCGCCATCCAAGTGGGTTGAACCTTTGGGAATCTCTGCGGCCTTTTGCGAAAATCGGAAGTTCGAGGTTCTTGTTTTTTTTTCTTTGGAGCAATAAATTGGAGATTCTTTGTTTAGTCCGTGCGGGGCGGTTGGGGTTGGGGTTGGGGTTGGGGACGCGTCAGTGAGTGTGACGCGGCCTTTCGATTTGGGAGGGTCGCCATTGGCTGCTCCCGCTGCCAACCGGCGCTTGATGAGGATTGCAGTCGCCTCGCCGACTCCACGTCCACAACCACTTGTGTTTACACTCTACAGAGATGATGAGATTCAGCCCGTGCGTTTGGTCGTGGTTTTTCGTAAATGATCGTAAATTTTTAGTCGGAATAGTATTTTTCTCTCACATAAACCAGACAGTAGTACTTCTTCATGAATCAACAACGAAACGAACCAGCCAACCGAACAGGCTGATTATATTAAGGATAAATTACAGCCACGACGCCGTAGGTTCGACTCCTACCTGGCACGCCAACTGTCGGTGTTTCGGATCGGAAGGTCCTCAACCAACCAGTAAATGTGAACTGCGTGCCCCTAATCCCGGATGGTGATGCAAAGAGACACAAGGTTTATCTTTGGTTCGAGCAATCGGTGCCCTACGTCCGATCCTAGGAGATCGATCTTGTATTCTTTACAATCAAGTGCTTGTAGTAGGGGGTTACAAGTTTGGGTGAGAGAGAGAGCTAGTCCCGTGTCTCGGCGTTGAGTGGTGCGGCGGCTGCTTGAGTCGTTGCTCTCGGACGGCGTGGGGCGTCGTGTGAATTGAGTGAGTGTGTTTTACGCGTGAGGCCGGCGTGGTCTCGATCCATAAAAACGGCCCTGGCCGCTTCCTTTTATAGCCACAAGGAGGGAGTCGAGAGTACATGAGAGAGCTACACGTGGAGCCTTAGCGAGGAAGGAAGATCGATCTTGTGGCATATTTCTGTGAAAAGACAAAGGTCGAGAATGACAATTGATACTTGATCACTGGCGCGTCATGCCGGCCATGTCTGAGGCTATTGAAGTCGTAGGGGTCTTCGTTGACGCTTAGTCGGCATGGCCTCCTCTCAGAGGTGATATCTGTGTGTCTTATGAATTTTTGACTTGGTGGTTCGTCGAGGCTGGCGGTGGTAGCTAACCGCCGCAGAGGCTGATTCTTGAGGCCTTGGAGATGACTCAATGTATGAGGCGGGGGCCTCGGCGGTCGCTGCGTGCGGTTTAGGTGGAAAAGTGCGGGGCGTGTGTCCGCAGGGCATGGCAACTCCCCGCACCGTCGATGAGGGATGGTAAAAGGAGATTTGACCGTTGTCCCATCGCTTCCTATTCTTTGTACCACCGCCGATCGTGGTCGACGTAATGGATGCATTCAGCGCATTAAATGAATAGGATAACCTGCCAGAGGGACTGCCTCAGCGAGAGGGCCTCGACGAGAATCGGGCCTCGGCGAGAGGGCCTCGGCGGGGCGAATCGAAGAATCGGCTGAGGCCCCGCGGTTATCCTTCGACTTTGATATTTATAAGCTCTAAGTAATTTTTCCAGTTCTTACTTAAAATACCCTTTTTATGGACCAAAACGCTAGTAGCTCTACCATAAAGTAAAACCGTGACGCACGTTGATGCGTGCCCGAGGGAGGGAAACGGGGTGCACCGTGTGTGTAGCTTGGATTACGTGCTGCGCTGCGCCACTTGCTTTCTTTTTCCCATGGATAAGATTCACGTCGCGCCATATGCCCAGATTCCACGTGCACTGTCACGTCGCACACAACGCAACCCAAGCTGTGCTTACCTACCAGGCCTAACAAAAACATCGAGCGCGTACTTACGCTCTTTGTCCCCAAATAACTATCATTCTCGCTTTCCAATAAATAACTTTAATTAATTTTATATAAAAAATATTAATATTTATAGTACACAATTAATATTATTAGTTAGATCGTTGAATCAATTTTTATAATAAATTTATTTAAAGATAAAAGTATTGCACGCATTTTTAAAATCTTAGTCAAACTTATAATATAAAACCCAAAACGACATTTAATTTGGGACGTTGGGAGCACTGCATGTCAATACAGAGGTGCTTTGATAGTAGGGCTAAAAAAAAAGGCCCACCTATACGTTTCGCACTACACACGTCACGATATAAAATATAAAGAGAGATTCCTGTGACACAAAAGACTACTGTGTATTATTATATACGCCACGCCTCTCCGTGTCGCATCCAACATATAGTCCGAATTTATTTTACTTTTGTATGTAGTTTGAGCGTGCATGCGGCTCGTGTTCGCTCAAAAAACATGTAGGGGGCCTATTATATATAAATTTAAACGAAGGTAATCAACAAACCTAGTGTTATGTGGAAGTATACCGAAAACATTAAACATGTTGCTCAATGAAAAGTAGCCTCGAAATTAAATACATGACACGCTATGCGGTCGGTACTTATTTTTCATTTGCTTGGCATCTTTGCAAATTAATTAAGGAGGCACACACGTAAACACAAGAGATGGATGCATGTGTTCCGGCAGAAGTTCTGCCTCTTCCAATCCAACTTATTATAGGTTGTTAGTAGGCCGTGTTTGGATTTTACGTATAGTATAAAGTTTAGCTAGTTCTCGAGACTATAAACAGATGATATACATTATTGTCTAAAGTTTAATAAATCTAGGAAAACATTAGTCCATAAGACCATACAAGTGTGCTAAAGTAGTCTAGTAAACCTTAGTGATCAATTAAACTTTAGACCATGAGATTAAAACATGGTGTCTATGGGATTTCGGGTGGCGACTTGAAGAAGAAAAATAAGCAATTTCGGTTACTGTAAACCTGCAAAACGATTTAAAGCATGTGATGCAATACTCGATGATGTGTCTATTTGCTTAGGAAATATGATTCTTTTTCAGTTTTTCTCTATCTTGCTTGGTAAATTTTTTGTTAGCTTATGAAACAGAGTGAGCAGATAAATGCAGCACTGAAGTTTTGTTAGGACCGACACTTGAATCATCAGTACAAGGAATATACAAGTGCATGCGAACTTTTAGTTATATATAAAGCTTTTCCTTTTCATTAATAAACAATCTAGCTCTCCCGTACTAAAGACGATTCTAAATATTCTCCTAGCTTGTTTAAATACACAGAGCAGCACGGCGTTGCCTGGCTCCCTGTCGGCGAGCTCGGCGATGCACGCGGCTCTTCACCAAGTGTTTTTGGTATCCCACATCAAAACCTCTATTTCCAATTTTCCATCGTCTCAAACCCATCATGCTATAGAATGAATTTACGTTTATACATATGTAACCAATTACCACAATTCTATAGATATTGAGTAATGATACTGCTCTAGTTTCAAGGTAAGCGTGACGCGTCATCCCTAAGACCCTAATTGTATGGTCTTTGGCCTATTTTCGCTCAAAAAACTGGAGTGAAACTTCTCTTTGTTTGTTCTTCTAGTAAGTTTTGCAATAATTTTTTTACTGCCCTTTTAGAAAAAATGAGTAATACTGCCTCTATGCTTAATGATGTACAAAAATATTGTGTAGAGTGCATCGACAGAGAGATTAGCTTAAGAGAGAGACTAAGGTAGGGCATATGAAACATAAAACTTTTTTCAATTAATATTAGGGAAATTTTACAATGATTGGAAGAAAACATGGCCCATCAATTGGACAGAGATCGATCAATGGAAAAATAGAAGGTACACAACTGAAATCATCTAAAGGTATCAAATATGTGGAGATAGTATCAAAATAAGTGGGTCCGGTACTAAAATAAGTGGGACCACATCTTAGTGTTTATTAATTAATTAAATTATGGTAAAGGGTAAAACGATAATTCATTATCTTTCATGGGTAAACTGTTAGACCCCTCCCATAGCAGGCGGCTGTTGGCTGGAGCTGCCAGTCGGCCGCCCGCCGCGACACCTGGCGGGTGTGCCCTCGCCGTATCCCTGTCTCGTATGCTTGGTGCCCGCCCGCTCCTCCTGCGCTCACCGGCACTGCAGTGGCCCCACTCTCGCGCACGTCGGCACCCTCCATGCCTCCCGAGCTCGCAGTCATCGTCGTCCGTGCGTGATGTAGAGGAGCTCCGCGCTGTCGTGCGCAAGATCGCACTGCACGGCAGGCCCGGCCATAGCATAGCACCTCAAGGCCAGCCCAGTCCTGTCAATTTATAGGCTGGAGCGAAGCTAGAAAAATGGCCCTTTAATACAACTCTAATGATATAATGCCGTTTCTAATAAGTGTATTGCTAAAAAAAGCATTCTTATCAAATAAGTTATGCATTTTACCTTAAATTTTTCTTCTAACATTTACTGATGCGAAATCATTGATGATGGCATCAATATCAATTTCATCTAATAATTTATTCTCAATGCGTAAGTTGTCAAACCATTTAATCTTTCTTGACACGTTATAGACCTCAAATAATAAGTTCACTATTTAGATATTATTACTAAGTAATGTACGAAAATTATGTCATACTAGATTCAATTCAACACTATACGGATTCCTAAATCCCTGAATTATTACCAAGTTGAGAACTAGATTATTCGCTGCCCTAGCTACACCGAAACACTATACGGAGCAAGATTCCTTCATCAACAGAAGCAGCCACGTATCCTCAAGTTGGATATTTCTAAAGCTTTTGACTCGATTTCT